CAAGGACGTGGGGGCCATAAAAACTACTGAGGACCATTTTGAGTTGCTGCAATTAAATTTCATCAAAATGGACGAGCCTGCTGCATCATTTTTTCACTTTGATTTTTGGGGTGTCTTTGAATTCAAATGATGGGGCATCCTTACATTCCTAACACATTACCCAGTCCATATCAGTATAGATATCCAGTATTTCCCCATTGACATCTGATGTGCTTTCAAAGTGTTCCTTTAATTTTTTTGAGCAGTGTATATATCTACTGTATATTTTAATGGCACATACAAATTGAGATTAATAGTTCTTCTTCTATGCTCATATCTCCTAACTGGCAATAGGAAATAATAGTTTTTTACTTAAAGTGGTTGTAAACCTCTGACATGAAAAATGAACAAAGTATATCCATCTGTAGTGTGTAGTTGCCTCAGTCAAAAGCACCAAGAGTGATTTCTGTCTGCTGCCTGGTTTCTGTGCTATTTGCATGAGTAAATTCTGACAGGCTGTGCTGACTCCAAGAATCGAGGGGGGCAGTGGAGGGGGAGATCCAGCACACAGCCTGTGAATGACAGCTTCAGTTATGCACGTTTCCCTATGAGATTGTGTAGGAGGGTATGGTGTGTCCATTCCCTCCACTCAGGTCTCAGATTACACCCAGTAGCCCCCTCTAAGCTCTACAGTGCTATGTACTAGATTTCCTCCCCCTTCCTCTGGAATCTCAAAAAAGCTGTGTAAAATGTAGAGTGCTTTAGAAGGCAGTAGAGAAGAGATGGCAGCAGATAAACAGGTATAACTCATGTAGCAGGATTTGTTGTATCTCTGTGTGTCACTATATTGGTTGTAGGTAAGGGTTTGCAACCACTTTGAAGTTCCAGTTTTGCCAGTACTGAGGTTTTCAATTCTTTGTACCTGGTGAGATCGCACATCTGTTTTATTTCCAATGCCCTATTTTAAAGTGGTTGTGAAGTCGCAAAGGTTTTTTGCCTTCATGCATTCCATGCATGAAGGTAAAATACATTCTGTGTGCAGCAGCTCCTCCTAATACTTACCTGAGCCTTATCTTGATCCAGTGATGTGCACAAGAGTACCAGCTGCCCTGGGTCACTCCCTCCTCATTGGTTGAGACAGTCGCAGGAGCCATAGGCTCCCGCTACTATCATTGACAGCCAGTGAGCCAATGAGGAGAGAGTGAGGGTGGGGCTGAATGTGAATGGTCACACAGAGCAACTACAAGGGAGCAAGCCTGCTTGGGTGCCCCCAGAGCAAGCTGCTTGCTCTAAGGGCACTTTGCAGGAGGGAGGTGCCAGAAATACTGGTGGTGGACCAGAGAAGAGGAGGATCGGGGCTGCTCTGTGCAAAACCGCTGCACAGAGCATGTGAGTATTCCATTCTCGGGGTTTTTTTCATTTGACTTTAATATCACTTTAAGCTTCACCTCAACCTCAGCTCTTCCAGCTTGCCCTACACTTGCAGATACCTCCTATTACCTGGGCTTCAATGTCCCCCTCCAGATGCATACTTAAACTGTTACTAAACTCATAACAGTAAAATCAGTCTGTATATGCAGTAAAGCATGCTTGATATACTCACTGTGGAACCTAAAGGGTTAAATCTTACATTGTGTAAAAAAATATGATTGATCTTGTCTTCTCTGATCCCCCTCCCCTTCTTCTACTGTCCCCAATCCATCTCCTGATAGAACAGAGCCTTGGGGGCAAGCTGCCTATGCTCAGTTTGGTGTGTATTGATAAAGAGTTTTTATTTTCTTGGGAGAGTGCATGTGATCAGCGCAGGGCCAATCAGCACTGTCCAGAGAGGACAAAACGTCTCCTATAAACTTTAACCAGTGATCTGCTGGACACTGATAGAAGTAAATCAAGACTGCTATATACTGCTGATGATAAAAGGTATTTAGTAGTTAATATTTACTAATATAATTGCATTTCCATGTTCTGTGTACTGTGGGAGACCAGATATAGTGAATGCAGGGTCCTGGGTTTAGTAACACTTTAACTTAATCCCAGATCCACAACCTACCCTTATGTTACCAGCCCATGACCAAAATCATCTCCCAGTTGGTAACACCTGCACAGTCGATCCCCTAGATTTCTATAGGACTGCCTCCCAAGGCTGGAAAAACTAAGGAGACAGTCCAATTCATTTCAATGGACTGCCTTATACATGACAACCATGGCAAAGAAGTTCAAGTATCATTTTAAACTTTGCACAGTTTTTAAGGTTGTTTTGCCGCACGTTTATTTCAAGTACATAACTGCATTTATTGCTTTCCATGTTCGGGTGTCATCACCAATGAAAGGCATCACAAATGTGAAACACATTTTTTCACAAAACATGCACAAATTTGTCTTACACAAGTGTGAATGCAGGCTAAAGTAGTGGTCAATATCCTGACCTGAACTGTTTTATTTATTTATTACAGGTACTTTTACAGCGCCATCAATTTACGTAGCGATTTACATATATATATATTGTACATTCACATCAGTACTTGCCCTCAAGACAATCTAAGGTCCCTAACTCACATTGATACATACACATACTAGGGCCAATTGAGACAGGAGCCAATTAACCTACCAGCGTGTCTTTGGAGTGTGGAAGGAAACTGGATTACCTGGAGGAAACCCACGCAGGCACAGGGAGAACATGCAGACTCCAGGCAGGTAGTACCGTGGTAAGAATTTGAAGCGATGACCCTGGTGCTGCCAGGCAGAAGTATTTCTTACAGATTTAAAGTGAAGCTCCATCCAAAGGGGGAAGTTCCCCTTTAAGGATTGGTTCCCTGCTCCCTGTTAAGGATTGACACCTTTGGGGAGCAGGGGGGCGGGTACCCAAAGTTGACAGGTACCTGCTCCCACTTCCTCTGTGATTGTCTAGGAAGTCGGAAGCTGAAGTTGTCCTCTCTCCTGTAGTCTTCTGGGACACGTGACAGGTCCCAGAAGACTACGGGACCATTCACAAAGCGCAGTGCTACTAACGAAAGCACAGTGAGCACCCCGCTATGAAGACACAAGCTGTCACAGCCGGGTGCCCACACTAAAGATGCTGACGCTGGGAACACATGGCGGCCAGTGAAACGAGCTGTGGGGAGGACACCGCAGGATCGAGGGACTGTAAAATGTCCATTTTTGAAAAGTCAGCTGCTACAGTTTTTGTAGCTGCTTACTTTTATTTTTTTTTTATCTTCACTGGAACTCCACTTTAAGAATGAAAAGATCCTTTCTTGTATTTTAGGAGAAATTATTAAATGTACATACAGAGCTAGCACTTTCAATCACAGCAATATCGCTTTCCATTTCCTTCACAAGCACAGAGAATTAGTTTAATTTCCTCCATCCATTACTTATCCTACTGATAAGTTCCAATTCAATCAACATTGTAGAGTGTCTTTGGAATGACACACCTCAGTGCTCTGTAGAGTATAGTACAAGATGAAAAGAAACACTTCAACTTCGATTTTGCGTAACACATTCCTGTGTTCATATTACAGGATGGGTAATTGGCCAAATGATCAGATCGACAGTAACTGTAACTTGCAATTTACTAAACAGGTAAAACGTTAGAATCATTAATGAAAAACAGAGACAGAATGGCGAATAGCATGCATACACGGGGTGGAATCCGCCTTGCTCAGCAGGGGATCTGTGCGCAGATCCTAGACTGAGCAAACAGAGCGGGCAGATTCCAGGTCCATGTCCGTTTATGCAGAGTGGAGACAGATAGAGCCCACTCTGCTCTAAGGGCAGCCAGGTGTCAATGGACCAGCTGCCCCATATACCAGACTGTCTTCCAATCAGATCCATCTAGATCAGCAGTGTCAAACTCCATTTTATCACAGGCTGTATCAGCACCCTCACTCTCCCTAACATCCACGTGCACCCCCAGAGCTGGAAAACAGAAAGTGCAGGGTCTGGAGGAGGACCAGAGGAGGAGTGGAGTCAGTTACCAGAGTCCAGGGGAGGCAGAGATGAGGGGGTGCTGCAGCTGCACTGAGAGGTGCAGGATTTGGCAGATGAGCTCTATTCTCTCTGCTGCTGTCTTCTGAGACAAGGTGGGGATGGAGACAAGGGGGTACCTGCAGGAGAGGTGCAAGGGCCACATGAAATGGCCTGGAGGGCCGAATTCAGCCCACAGGCCTTGTGTTTGACACCTGTGATCTAGATGGAGGGGGACAGATCCTCCACCTTTTTTTTTTTTCTTTTTTTAGAGAACCAGATTGGATTGGAGGTGGGGGGGGGGGGGGGGGTAACAGACACAAGTCTGTTTACTGAAAAAGAACACACAGGGGGGCACAAACACCTAGTGCATTATCCATGGTTTATTGAGAGAAATTTCAAAAAATCCAATTTCATACTCTCAAAGGACAGAAGTGATAAGCATGACTAAAATTACTGATGGTCAACCAATGTGATAACAGATTCCCAATATTCCTGTCCATCCATCCGGCTGTATTCCTTCGACTTTGCTGGACTATTATTTATTTAATATTTATTTATTCACATCTTGCAATTGGTAGTGGAGCATGACACTATTTCTGAATTTGTTCCCAATAGTTGGTAGTGTCGGTGAGCTGACGTGTTTTGGGGATGTGTCCCCTTCTTCAGAGCTCAGCCAACAAGTGTTAGTCTCCAAACACTTGTTGGCTTGGGTTCTGAAGAAGGGGACATATAGCAATCAAGCAGGGGCTCCTCACAGTAGCTGGGTTTTTTGGAGAAGCTACACACTATTAGGCCCTGGTCCAGCTGCCTGCACAGCAATTCTGATAGTGCAAGGCCTCCCACCTGGCTGCAGATCACTTGGCCAGCTACCTCTGTCTCATCAAGTGTGACCTCTCTAAGCTGCTGAGGGAAGGAAGTAGAGGAACTCATCTTCCCTGGGCATGTCAAAGAACCCAGGGGGTTGTGGGAAAAGGAGTTAAAGGGTACTGCTCCTGCATCTGAGCATGGTGGGTAAATGGGCACTTGACTACACTGCTGCTCTATAGATATATCATGGTGAGCAGGGGCGGACTGACAACTCATGGGGCCCCCGGGCAATAAGGGATCATGGGGCCCCTGTGTCCTTGCCCAAACTCAAAAAAGCCTATGAAAAAGGTACCAGGGGCATCTCATGGGGCCCCCTAGTGACCCCGGGCCCTCGGGCAGTTTGCAAATGGTCAGTCCGCCCCTGATGGTGAGTGAGTGTCACCCTAGGACAGGAAGCATGTTCCTTGTAGGATTACCAGGTGAAAATAAAAGGAAAAAGAAAACTAATGCAACCATCACATCTAAGGACTGGTAAACTGACCTTGTATTTGTTCTTGGATTTAGCTATGCTTTAATTTTGCAAATAAGCCATTTTATTTAATAAAGTAACACATAACAGTACTTAAAATGCATACAAAACATAAAACAGAACCAGTATCTCACTTTTGCACACCTACTCTTCTGCTTCATTATATCTTCAATTTTGTGATATGTATAAAAGTTAACGCATAAACGTTTGAGAATTATTTGTTATGCACTATTCTTCCTTTGTCACATCACTAGCTTCAGTTTGACATTAATTGTTACATTTTGTGAGGATTCAGAGAACAAAGGATAAAATAAAGCCACCCGTTTTCAAGGTTCCATATTATTCACACTGAATAAGCTTTCACGAGAAAATTAAAATGATTCATGAGAAAACATGTTAATTCATGAGGAAAAAAAATTAAACAGCAGAAACAGAAATAAAGCAGAAAACAGGAACAATGTTTTTTTTTTTGTTTTGTTTTGCAAAAGAGACATTGAAAGTCTCTTTTGCCAAAAAAATGTGAGCAAATGTGTATTATTTTGTATACTGCTTGCGCCATATGCATAGTGCAGTGCCCAATCTTGGTCAACCATCAGCATCTAGAAGATGGTGAGAATGGATTCAGGTGCAAGGATAATGTAACTCCAGCATGTATGGAAAAAAGTTATTTCTTCACTGGCCTCTCGATGGCTGAAGGAAGAAAAAGTTCAACCCAGAAGAATGTCAAAAGAAAATGGCAATTGAGTGGTGAGAGAGCATGCTCAGGACTGAAGATGGGCACACTAAGAGGCAAGTCTGCTATAATAAATGAATATGTCGCTCCCAGTGCTACAGGTAATCTTTAGGCTGTGTTCAAACTCGTGCGGTGAGGTATATCGCATGCAGGGGCGGACTGATCATTTGGAAACTCGGGCACTGCACGAGGGCCCGGGGTCAGTAGGGAACCCCATGAGATGCCCCTGGTACCTTTTTCATAGGCTTTTTTGAGTTTGGGCAAAGACTCAGGGGCCCCATGACCCCCTATTGCCCGGGGGCCCCATGAGTTGTCAGTCCGCCCTGATCGCATGTGATTTGCACAGGAACTGCATTGCATTACTGTCAAATCACATTCGAATTGTGTGCGGTGCGATTGAAGCCATACACAGCCATTCAGAGGTGTGTGATTACAGTGAAGCACACTGACACTGCCCCCTAGTAAAACACTCCCTGCACACAGTTAATCCTTTGAGTGTCCCTCATGTTAACCCCTTCCTGCCCAGTGCCATTAGTACAGTGTCAGTGCTTTTTTTTTTAGCACTGATCACTGTATTGGTGTCACTGGGGATGTCAGTGACACCAAGTCAGTTCCCTCCAGTGTCAGAATGTCCGCCGTAGTCCCGCAATAAGTCGCTGATCGCCGCCATTACTAGTAAAAATAAAAATCCCAGTATATATACCGCCATTTGTAAATGCTATAACGTTCATGTAAACCAATTCATTTACACGTATTGGAATTTTTTTTTTAGCAAAGACATGTACCAGAATACATTTTGGCCTAAATTTATGCCGAAATTTGATTTTTAAAATTTTTTTACTGGACATGTTTAATAGCAAAAAGTCAAAAACATTGTTTTTCTCAAATTCTCGGTATTTTTTTTAATAGCGCAAAAAATAAAAAAAAAACGCACAGGCAATCAAATACCACTGAAAGAAAGCTCAATTCGTGGGAAAAAATGACGTAAATTGTATTTGGATGCAGTGTTGCATGACCGCGCAATTGTCAGTTAAAGTAACAGTGCCGTAACGCAAAAAATGGCCTGGTCAGGAAGGGGGGTAAATCCTCAGGAGTGCAAGTGGTTAAGCACAAACTCTAACGTATGACCAACTCTATTCTTAAACATGAGTAGAAAGCCTCAACACACAGGAAAACTCATAAATCTGAAAGATCCTAACCCTATCAGTGCAGCAAGACTAATGCTAAATACATTCACAAAATGTTCTACATTAAAGGGCATAGACACAAAAATACAAATGCATATGTACATTTATAGCCACCCATTTGCACAAACTTTTTCCACACTTGAATACACAGGTAAATAACCCATATACTGTATAGTGCTGACTATTTAGAAAAAGACAAAGGAAAACATATAGGACCTCAGAAACATAATTCAAAGGACAATTTATTCATATTGAATGAACTCCAATCCCTTCTTAATTGTTGGTCTAAATTTGGAAGGCTTTCAATTTCCATCCTTTACATTTGGCTGGAAAATGATACAACCGGAACTCTATATTATGGAGGGAGGACAAAAAAGTTTTTCAGTGCAAAACAGAATAAAAGACTCTGTAATCAATATCCTTCTAGCTAACAAGCTTCAAGAGATTCTGTCCATTCATCTGAGATGATATAAAAAACAACCGGTCTTTCCAGTTGCCTTTCAGCCTTTATCATGTAGCTGGGGGGTGTTTGTATATTATACAGCACCAACCCATTGTTTTATATTTAACATTCATGAAAAGTCAAAAATGGTGCATTGGAGGGAGATAGTTATCAAACAGTCGCTTCACCTAAATGTTGTATTAGGTTATGGGTGAAACTAGTTGGTCTACTATCTCCTGGGTGTTCCAGGAATAAAGATCTCCTAATAGAGTCTCTCACTCTGTCCCCAAATGAGATCTTTCAGTAATGGCCTCATCAAGTGATGGGTCAACAGAACTGAGGTTCAGAGATATTGCCTCCAGTGACTTTGTGCACCAGCATTTGCCTAGTTTTTTTGTTGTACTCACCCTTTAAAGAGTACTTTGGTGGCCAACCCTGAAATTATGTTATCCTAACCAAATCAGTTTTGTCACTGCATTTCCTAGTAATTCATTGAGTAGAGACCAAAGGGTATCCTTTGGTTTTGACATCACAGAAGAATTTTCCACTTAAAGTACAGCTGGCATGAGAAGAGTATGGGAGTTGCCATTGGGCTGATTCTGAAATTGCTAGCTACTTAGCTATGTCTGACATAACAAACCCATAATAAGTATGTTATTATTTTTTATTATTATTATACAGGATTTATATAGCGCCAACAGTTTGCTCAGCGCTTTACAATATAACGGGAGACAATACAGCAACAATACAGTTCAATAGTTGTAAATAAGTGACACAAAAGTATTAGAGTTCCCTATATCTATACTTTTTTGGATTTGTGACTGAAAAAGCATTGAAGTCAAATCATACCTTAGATTGTATACCCCTTGAGGGTTAGGGACTGATGTGAATGTACAATATATATGTAAAGCGCTGCGCAAATTGATGGCCCTATATAAGTACCTGAAATAAATAAATAATAAGACTGACATCCAAAAAACTCATATTCTCAAAAGCAGTAGAGGACAGAGTAACAGCTAGATAGAAATGAGCCATGTCCAGGTCTATGTAACAGTGGGGTAATTCCAGCATCCCTTGTTCCAAATTTAATGTAAATGGAGCCCTGAGTTCCAAAAGGTCATGGAACCTGCATAGTCTGCATAATTATCTGTTCAGCAATGGCAGCCTAAATAATGTTATCATAGCAGGTGTACTTTAAAGTAATTCTATGCATTGTCCATGCAGGCAAAGCTGCAGGTTTGAGCTCTGGGGAAGGGAGTACAGCTCCCGAAACAGGTCAGCATCTCAACCAGCAGGTTCCAGAACAGGACCCTACGGTCTCATACTGAAGCTATATTGATACATGCCTGTTTATACGTTTGGTTTGTAAGTACCCATTTGTCTTTTTTATATTAAAGTCTATGTATTATGGTAATGCATGAGGAGTGTGTTCTTTGTGTGTTTTTTCTAGTGATTTGAACATTCCCTGATCCGAGGAGGGCTTCACCGACACGAGTGAATCTTTCCATGAGACTGTATCCAACATCCTGATTTGAGCACTGATGTGATTTGTATGGTTGCCTTAAAGTGATATTAAACCCAAAACCAAAAATGTGACATACTGCAGATTACCAGTCATTAAATGTGAATACTACAGTGCCAGGCGTAGGGGGTGACAGATTTATTGTGTTGCCTATGGCAGCACAAAACATCAATACGCTACTATAAAAACCCATCCATAGTGGCACAGTGTACCAAAATCCATTTGGGGGTCGACAATGGTTTTGGTACCCCCTAACATTTAGAGTAGTGCTGTGACATGAAAAGATATGATTACAGATAGAAAATTGGTATGTATAATGCATATAAATAAGTCTGCACTCAGGTCTGTACTCAGAAATGATCCTATTTTGAGTACAGTACTTCCTGAACATCCTAATGTTATATATAGAGGGTTACCAGCAATGCAAGATAAAATTGCCCAAAATGTGTTGGACCCTCCTTCTAGGCCTTTGTTCTTTTTATCACTTGTTGGTTTTTAACCCTGTCATAAGTGTATTGTGTCAGGAGAATAGTTTTAAGGGTAGGAAGGTTATCTTTTAGTTCTTGTGTAACCAATAAACAGTATAATATTGCATCTATGTTAGCTTGTTCCTCAAAAAATGTAGTATACCTCATCCAGTGTCCATGCAGCATGCAATATATGGGGCACACTGTTGATAAGTTACAAGTGTGTCTCAATAAACATGTCGCAAATATTAAACATGAATTTGAGGTCAAGGCATTATGCTCCATACCATGACAAGAAATTAACTGGTACTCTATTCTTGGCCATTGACAGGAATCTTCCTCACTGGAGGGGGAGCTCTACCAGGAGGGAAATATCAAGCCTCGAAAAACGCTGGATATATGACCTTAAAACTCTTTAGACCACACGGATTGAACGTGGACTGGGACATCAACTGATTTATTAATAATAGTTGATCTTATCATACTTTTTCTCTATGTATGGGGGACAAATTCTTAATGGCAGAAAATATTTTTTTATTGCATA